ATGTATATTAAAATGAGCAATTAGCAAAGTAATACCAATAAGTTTACTAGATAATATTACCATATCTCTTTCAATCAGATTATACTTTGATTGACCTAAGGCATGTATTCATATACTTAAAAAAGCTAAATTAAACTTTTTAAAAAGTTAATAATAGACATTTATATTTTTTAGATGTCTAGATTCTTATCTAATTCACTATCTACTAATAAAATCCAAATTGATTGAATTGTTCTATTCATTTTTAGTATGTTATCATATTAAGAATTTAAAGTAAGGCTTTTCAAGTCTTGCATACTATATGTGTAAGTAAAAATATGCTAAGAGACTATTACAAACGTATATAAATCGCTAAATTTCCTGTCTATAATTCATTATTAATATAGATGCCTGCCGAAACCTCCTCAAAATAATTTCGTCATATCCTTTTCTATGTTTTTAATATAGTTTCGACAGTTTCGGCTTTCGTCGTATCGAAAGGGTTTCGTCGTATCCCTTATTATTATTTTAATATAGTTTCGTCTAAGTTTCGACTGTTATTAAGGGGTTTCGTCCCTCATCATTAATTAGTGCTTTTCAAATGTCAAAAAAACAACCAATTAAACCTCATAAGAAATTTAGTTCATTTTATTTCAAAAACGATGGCAATCTTGTATTAGAAGATAAAATTTTGAAAGTTTATTCTCAAAAAAAGTAACGGGCGATCACCTACAGTTCAATTTTAGAAGTTCGCCACTTGGTCACGGTCAGAGAATGCAAAACAATTTTTAAGGATAATAAATTTTGGGTCATTTCTTCAAATTATTTTTTTCAATAGGACTTGAATAAAATTCAATTCGAATTTAGTTATTCGCTTCGAGTTTAACGGGATCTAAGTTGAAGATGTTATAATGAAAGAAGATAATAAAATTAATGAAATTTCGATTTATTCAAAAGAGATACATTTTTCAATTCGAAATATTCGAATAGAAGGGAAAGTTTCTATTGGAGTATTAAGCATTAACTCTCATTTGACTTTTAATTTACCTAACTTAAGTGAAAAAAAAAAGATATAAGCCTGTATTGGTCAATGGAATCATAAGTTACGATATTAATTTAACCGACTAATTGGTGCCAAACTTCCGATGGTGGATCATTTCAATGATACTTTGGTCTTTCCTAATATGGAAAACATTAAAGCCTTGGTTTCAAATCGAGATAATATAAGAAGAATATAAATGGAGAATGAATCAGAGAGTGAAGGCAATCATGATTTATAAGCTTTCATGTGAAGAATTTTGTTCAAAAAAATAAAGATTATTGCTTGAAAATCCTTGATAATAATTCATTAGCATTATTTCATTTTATAGGTCAAAATATAACAATAACAATATACAAATATGATGACATTAATAAAAGTATTATTTTTACTTTGATGAATGTCGAATTTTCCGGATCTAGATTACCATTGATGAACTTTAAAGTTTTTTTTTTAAACTCTAGCCTTTATTTGATGAATGGTTAAAAGCATCATCGAGGATGATAAATGTCTTGCAAAATATGGATCAACTTTATTATCAAAATTAATCGCTCCTTAAAGAAGAAATCTGAAATTTCTCAATATTAATAGAAGTTTTATATAAAAATTATCCCGATATTTTATCAAAATTTAATTCTGATATGTTCATGTTCTTAGACCCCTTATAATGAAAAAAATAATTGAAAGTAATTATCCCGATGATAATTTATATCATTTTCTACTTTAATAACGAAATGAATGTAAGAGTCATCCCAAATATAAATCCATAATATCCGAATACGTAATAAGAAAAGAATATATTTTGACAATATTCTTAATTATTCTTATACTATTAATTATAGTGAAAGATAGTTTGGCTTCTAGACTTTACTATATCTCGATAATTACTTTATACGCATTAATAATGATATCATCAAAGTTAATCGTAAAATTTTATTCGCGTTATTATCAATATTTTGGGAAAAATATCAAAGTTAAGCAACATATTACTCTTACGTAAATAATTCTTGCTATCCTTTAGAATACAATCCATTGAAAGAAATATTTTTACCTCAACAAAGCGTTTTTGTTAATATCTGTAAAAAAATTTCCATGCAAATTGGAATGGTGAAGCAATCATTAATTTTAAATGGAAAAATTCGGAAGAGTTTCTTATTTTGCAAATTGATTTGATTTTACAATTTTCATTGCATTTTTTACATCAAATATCAATATTCAAAGGATTTTATTAAATACGTAAAGAATTTGTATTATGATTTATGCGACTACCATTTGTTTCAAACTAAATTAAACTAAATTAGTACTTTATTAGATTGATAATCTATGCTAATTATAACAGGCATATGAAGACACGAATTTTCCAATTTTATTTTTTATCTTTGTCAGCGTTGGTTGTCAATATTACACCCATTAAAAGTTACCAATAAAGCCCAAAAGAGACGAAACCCGGTTATGATTTGGGATAGAGGTGATTTTTGAGGTATAGGACTTTCCATTTTGAAAAGTGACGTTTTCAAGATTCATAAGTCCATTTGCATTTTCGGAAACGATCTACTGATAAGGAAGGTTCTCTGAATTTTTTTTCATTTGCCCCTAACCAAAACAAAAATGTCCTTCATTTCATTTTTTGACCAATTGATTGAACAATTTTTATCTCAATTTCATTTTCTTTTGTCGTTTTTCTCGTGGTTAATCGTTTTCAAACTTGACTCATATATACGATCATTGAATTGAAAAGCCACATTTATGTCGGGTCATTCAATGTGCTACCTACTGTTTTCTTTTTAATGCATCTTTTTTAAGTGTTTGACAAGCCATATTAACTTTTTTAAAAAAACAGAAAATCAAATTAGCGCATGATTTTCATGTCTTACGATACTTAATTACTAGGGTTTACTTTATATAAAATAAGCCCCATTGGGCTTTCATCCTCGTCATGCATGCACTTCAAATTCTCCGTGTAAAGGCATGAAAATTTTAAAATCATTTAAGTAAATTCCTTAAATATTTGAAACACACCTTTGGTCGTACGTCATATAAACTGATATAAATATTTACTCGCGTTTTAAGAAAATATTGCTTTTGTTTTTCCGTGTCTAAACTCTTTTTATGTTCTCGAGAACGAATTAAATTTTTGAGAAAGAAAATTGACGAGTACTCTGTACATCAAAAATTACCGAATCGGGTTAGCTAGAATTTCAAAACATGATCATTTCCAAATTTAAAATAAATTGAAAAACACAAAAAAAAATAAATAAATATATTACAAAGATTAAACATTGTGATTTTAATTCGAACCTATAAGGGAGGTGGTAGTAAAAACTAAGGTTTTCACGTCATTAATTCGCAATAAACTTTAAAGAATTATAGTTTACATTTTTTGGCAATATGGCTTGCTCTTTGCGAACAAAAAAATCTTTTCAATTCCTTTATATAAATCATCACTTTTTTTTCTTTTTCCTCAAGTCATTAATTAACCATGCCAAAAGTACTTAGCACTATTACTCGACGCGAACAAAGGTGTTTAATCGATTTTGACACCATTTCTCCCGATAGATTAGATTATGCTCTCATCTTACTTTGTTCAAGAATCATGGTGAGAATACAATTGAAATGCTTTGAAGACACGATTTTCACGATAAAAGAAATCAAATTCATAGTACGTAAAGAAATCGAATTATTTCCCGAGAAACTTCAAAGGTTTTCGATCCAAATGAAAGAATACTACGAATTAAATGACAATACTTTGTCAGATTGTAAAAGTAAGATCGATCCAATCGTGGACTCGGATGATCCGTTGGAATCAATCCGAAAAATTTTAAAAGAGGAGATCACCTCCAAACGTAAATCTAATACAACCATGGTTAAACGGGTTTATAGGAATTTGATCAATTTATCCGATGATTTACAAAAGTACTTTTTAAATCGTGACAATCACGATAAAAAAAAGCACAACATAAGACCAATTTATTTTGTCGATAACTACTTTGTGTACCAGGAAGGTAGTCCTGGAAGTCCAGAAGAAACATTCATTTCATTTCCGATGGCACTGGTTTGGTTGCCAACTTTGACGATAACAGATGAGATAAATCAAAGAAATTCCTCAGCTTTTTACCTTCGAAAAAAGCCCGAATTCTTGGGTAGCAAGGGAATACCGACATTCCGTTCTCAGTTATTAAGGATGATCTTGGTTCAAAAAAGTGTTAATCAAAACAAATCGAATGGGAATTCGACGAGAGGCGCAAAGGGAAAGAGACGACGATCTTATAATAAGTCTAACAAGATAAAAATAAGAAATAAAGACGAAGATCAAAGTCATTTCCCAAAAACGCTCGAGTCTCCCATACCGATGACATCCATTAGCGCAATTCTCAATCACGTTGATGAGAATGTTCAAAGTTCACAACCTTACATTAATAATAACTTCCATAATAATTTTTCGACGATCCAAAGTAATCCAATTAATCCGACCCTTTCTTCTTCATCCAAACCATTTGATTTCCGAAACTTATGTCCATGTATCATCCATAAACAACAACAACAACAACATCATCAACGGCTTTTGTAATGGTTACACGCACATATCACTATATATATATTATTTACCATATTTATTTAATCGTAATTTTTTTTTTTATTTATTTATTTATTTTTATACATTAGATTTTTTTTTCATGTTTATCAAAGTTATTATTTTCCTTGATGTCGTAAATCATTTTATTAGTATTCTTTTAATTTTTATAAGGGTTTATATATGAATAGAAAATTAATTTTATCTATTAAATTTTTTAATAAGATTTTATATTTATGAAAATTGGCAAAAAAAAAAAAAAAAAAAAAAAAATTTTAATTATAATTTACGTTAAGAAATAAATTGGCAAAATTAAATCATGAAAAGTTTTTTTATTTATGCATACCAAAAAAGGTATTATGATATATAAATCCTAGCAATAATTCTCCTTAGAAACTTTTGACACTTTAATTAGTTTTCTTTTCTCGGTTCACAAAAATTCTCTTGAGGGTCGTCATACGTTCCATCAAGAATGCTATCGATAACCAACAGAGGATCCTTTCCATTGCTAAGAACGAACATGATTTGCCAATCTCGTTCGTCCAAATCTTTCTTTGCATGACCTTGAAACATCAGTTCGCCTCGGTTGTAAACGTATTGCAATACTCGGCAACGCAATTTCTTTAAACCCAACCACTTGCTCACTCTGAGGATAACATGCCAACGTTGTTCATTCCACTTTGGATAGAAAAATGAACATCTTAACAAGTCTTATCAACTTAACAAAAGAATGAAATTTCATAATTATCAATACTCACAATTTTATATAAAATATTATCACAAAAATCGACCAATTCTGGAACATCAAATTTATGTTTACAGGCCAAGTATGCGAGCACAAACAATTGATCTTGATCGTTTGTTTTAATCGGATATCCATATCTGAAAAGTACAAAAAAAAAAGTTTCTTCTTTTAAAGAAATGTGTTTGATTATTAAAAAAAAAAATAAAAATAAAAATAAAAAAAAAATATGAGTGTGTTACATAAAAGCAACAAAATTCTGAAAATCCACTCTATCATATAGCAATTCAACATTTTCCTGTCCTTTATATTCATGCAATCTGGTGATTGCAATCTCTTTATTGCAACTGTAATCATGAAACAAGTATTCAATTCTTCTCTCATCGTCTTTATGAGCTAATATTTTGAAAATTTTCTTAAAGAATCCGGAAGCGCAATAGAGAATGGTCGTATGAGCGTATATATGAAAGTTATCGACGCGCAAAAGGATGTTTGCAGTTGTGGTGTCGTTAAGTAATGATCGAACAAATTCTGCACGATCCAAGTAAATTTGATGTTTTGGCGACATGTTTTTTTTTTAAGAATAAATAGATAAATCATCCTCCCTTTAAATTCAAATGGTATCATATGAATCACTTCATTTCGCAATTTTTAATATTTTTGGTGATATCATTCTTTTCTGGTTCTACAGTGGTTCCACCACCGTCAATCATTTACACGAGAGATCATTTCCGCGATTATTGAGATTAAATTTTACACAAAAGTCCAATTAGAGTAAAAAGCTACCAAATGACTAGCCAATTTTGTTCTCCCCTCCCTCATTATAAATACCGATAAAGTTTTTTTTTTTTTGCATTGACAGTGACCACCACAAAATATTTGTTCAATTTTTTTTTTTTTACAAAAAAAAAAAAAATAAAATAAAAAAATAAAAATAAAGGGGGTATTTAGAATATGAATGAAAGCAGGATATTATTATTATTATGCATGTCATTGTGTTCATCTTTTTTGGGTCTCTACGTTTTCATCGAAATAGAGCAGTGGTCGCAATATAAGGAATACGAAAGAACACCTAAACCATTCCCATCCGATTCCGCAACGGTGGTGGCTTCTGCTTTGACATCTATCACCAATTCACCTGTCATAACTTATTATGAGTATTTATCAAGAGATGAGAATGATACAAGACTTTATGAACAATTGGATTTCCAAATATTTTACAAGGCTTACTTGAGTGGTGGTATAATATCATCCCATCATCATCATGTTGACAAAAACGTTCCGTTTGATGTTCACATTGAAACTTTAACTGGGGTTAAATGGTTGGTCGGAAATTTAACCGGTAAAACCACCGTTCAAGAATTAAAGGAACGAATTCAAGAAATTTGTTTCATACCCGATACCACTTCTCAGCGTTTGATATTTAATGGTCGACACCTTTTAAACTCAAAGAGGTTAGGTGCCTATAATATTGGTCAGGATAACGTGATCTATTTGGAAGTCCGAGGTTCTTTGGATTCTATCAAATTCTTAAATTCTGATTTCTTAAATTTAATACATCATTTGGATGAAAAATCACAAAAAAAACTCCCCGGAAGATGTGATTGGAAAAGAATTCCTTTAACCCCTTCATCAACCGAAAAACATTCGATATACAAAACATGGCCATACTCTTATCATGGAACGTCAACGCGTAAATCAAGAACGATCGCGGATGATGGATTGATTCATAGTAAACGTAGTAAACTTCATAAATTTACCTTTGGTCATGGAATTTACACAACCCCTGATAAAAATTTGGCTTCATTATACTCTCATACTTTTATTTTTAATGGTTCAAAATATTTGATTTTGTTACAAAATCGTGTTAATCCAAAGACTTTGGTTCGGTTATCTAGAAAAGGTGATGGTGATTATTGGGTATCTCCAAGTGATGATGATTTAAAACCTTATGGTTTACTTATCAAGAAGATTGGTTATTGTAAATGACACTTTTTTTTTAGAATATCTTCTCTTAAAGGTTAATTTGAATAAATTCAATTGCATGCATTGTGTAACATGTGTAATCATTGATAACAAAAATTTAATTTAAAATAAAGAATTTTTTTTTTATTGAACTTTAATTCCCGTTTTAAAGATAATTTTTCGTAAAATTTCGTCTTCACTAGTTTGAACTATCAAAATTACTTTTTATCTTAATTCTTTATAATATTTAGCCACATCAGCCACGAATGTTTACATTTTAGTACTACCGTAGTTTTATCGAATCACTGATTGATAAAAACTTAAATGAAAGAAAATGTCGGCTCACGTTTGGTGGAAGACTTGAAGGAGATAAAGAAGAAATAGTCAATCGAATTGGCAACTTTGACGTCGATAAAATTTTACTGAGACGCATTTCACCGTGGTCGATAGTTTTGGGAATACAGGGCAAACTATGTTAGTCTTCCGTGGTAAGTACCGATTTTACGATATAAGCATTACGAATATTTTTCTTATGATATGGTACTTGTTTTTCTAATTCAATTCTAGGTATCGCACCCTCTTATATCCCAATAGAGGAAGAACTTTTGCAACTTGATGCTAACATTTATCAGAGTGGAATGATAAAGAATTTGAATAGACAATATTATTCCCCAAATCACACGTAATTTTTCAATAATATTTTCTTAATCTAAAAAAATGATCCTTGTAGCTCAAAAACTTCTTCCTCATTTCACCAAAGTTTAGTGAGGTCCTTCCGGCTTGGGGAAAGACTACCACACTTGTTGTTGTGGGATAATTTGCCAAAAAGATTGGATGTTTCGTCTTGCCAGTACAAGTTAGATACTTTACTGATGGTGCGATGTGGTTAAACACAAAGCGCAAAACTTCTTGAACCAATGGATTCATAGAGCAGATAAGGTATTATTACAAAAGATTCTTTGTCAGATTACAGGTTACAAAAGCCTAATGCTGGAATAATACAAAAAATATTGGATCCTCAGCGACTTAGAAAAGCAGTGAAGGATAGCAGCATTTTTTGCTGCTAAACTTTTGAATTCTGACATGTCCTGAAAGCTGGAAAGTTTGATGATAATCATTATGCGGAATGCGATTTCAGTGATACAGGAGGACGAAAATATATCGTAGAGAATCTTTGAACTATGTATTCAGCATCGAGTCCGAATGCGAACCCAATCTTAATTACTTACCATAATTTAACGAATGGAAACGAAAAGAAGATGAGAGTAGTAATGAACAAATTGTACGGCGAACGAAACACCATTACAACAAATCTCACTTGAAAAGGGAACTATGTATGTATGTGAGCGTGATCACGCCGTTATTTGATTTCTTTATTTACGATTTATATGGTGAGAATATGGATGCAGGTATCGGAATCAGCATACCGGGAAAGTATGAGGATCTTTTCAATCAAAATGCTATGCTAGGATCTCTTTGTATTTACGATGTCCTACAGGTGCTAATCGAATACTATTTATATGTCACCACGCCTACTAGGACAACCACTTCTGGATATATTCACGCAGTTCGCTTGTAACTGGTGATCATATGCGCAAGTTTCTTCGAAAGATGTTATGATGTGATACAGAAATAATGTTGGGTAAGTTCTCAGTTGGTTCTAAACCAATTTCAATGCATCTCTTGAATAAAAAAAAAGTCTGTTTCCAATAATCCTTTTTTTTGTTAATAATAATGCATTTAATCTAAAAAAAAGAACAAAGGATTGCTATTCCGGATTTCCGTGATTTGATCACGCAAATTATGAAAAATCTTTTTAATGTCAAAAAATAACTTTAATAAACTTTTCTACAACATTATCACGTACGCAAGCATATTAATAAATTGTGTGATACTATGAACTTGTAAAATTTATTATAAAAAAATTTAACCGTTTTTGATTTTAATATTTATTACGTTAGCTCAGGTTAACGTGACACGATAAACGATATTCAGATCAGATTGATTTATTTATTTGTTTTGATCGGATCGTGATTCAGCAGTCAGCTGGACCGACCTAATTCCGACCAAATAGGTAGTGATTTTCCTATCATGACTTTTCTTTTTAACCAATATGAAATTTAGTGTAAAAAACAAAAATATACATCGGAATCTGTTGCGGTGAAAAAAATTTTTTCATACTTTTAACTCGATATATCAATATACTTTTAAGAAATCGATCTTTTTTAAACGTAAATACACATAAATATAACTATTATAGATATTTATCGTTATTTTAAAATCAGAATAATAAAATGATGTAAAATATCTTTCACCAGTTACACTAGTTATTTTAATTTAATTTATCTGTTATGCTATAATTTCAAAACAAATATATATAAATACATACATACAGTACATACATGCATACAATTAAATGAAAAGAAATGCCTTTTTTGATTTTTTTATTTATTTATTATTAAGATTATTCCCCTCCCGCCGCAAATCATAATATTTTTTTAAAAAAAAATCTACAAAGTATCTCTGATAAGATTGAATTACATCAAGACCATTCTTAACAAATTATCTTATCTCGTTAATATATAAATATTCAAAGTTTTCAAATAAACTAGTTTAACAGATACACCCTCATGAGTTTCTAAACGATCTCAAAAGTTCATGATCTAATTTACCTCTTGCTGCCAAGTTAGTTATATGACCTTCAATATTAAAACCTAATGAAGTTAATTTATGGTATAATCTAGTTATAGCAATCTGCCTTAATCCAAAATCTTCATCGCTCCTTTGTATTTCATCAAATAATCGCACAAATTCCTCGATATCTCTTACAGAATTACTTGTATTATGTTCAGCATTATAAGAAGTGTTTTTATTTGAAACAATTTGTTTCCCTTTGTTGTTTGGAGTTTTCATAATTGCTGGCTTAGATGAAACTGGAGTAGATACAATATTATTCGCTTCTAAAACTTTTCGTTCCCCATATTGTCGTATCATGTGATTTTGTGGTTCCATATCATCATCAGAAATGATGACAGGTTCCTGATGCTTATCATCATTATTATTGGTTTTGGATGATGAAGCTTTATCAATTTTCACTTTCAGTGCCTCCACGTTTAACTCTCGAATTATAACACCTCGAGAATTCGAATTAACTGATTTTGACTTCATATTGGGAGCTTTCGCTTGGTACGGAGTTAGAGTCTGATATTGCGGAACTGTTAATTGTGAGGTGGGATGTTCGGATTGCATTGACATTACAGGATGCACAGGATTATTGTGATTATCCTTTGCCACATTAGGTTGTGTAGAAGTATTAGGCTGAGTTGTCGGAGAATCAATCGAGTTGACCGTTATAAAATTAGCTTGCGAGGTCGGTGTACCATTTCCTTGATTTTCACGTTGAGGTAAATTGTGATCCACCTCTGTAGTCGAAGCCACTTTACGATTAACAACAGTCATATCTGTCGTGTTATTTACAGGTGTGTGATGAGATGATACTATCTGTTGTAGTTGCTGTCGCTGTTGTTGTTGTTGTTGTTGTTGTTGTTGTTGATGCATTGATTGCATTAATTGCATTTGCATTTGCTGCTGTTGTTGCTGTTGTTGTTGCTGTTGATGCTGCATGCTATAAGCATAATTAATATTTTGGTAATAACACCATTGGTATTGGTAATATGGCATTGAAGTATTATAATTATAAATTTCGGGCGTATTAGTAGTTGACCCGGATACAATTTGGTGATCTGAAGTAAAATTGTTAATATTGTGAAGACCAGGTCCAGGCACCATCGCTGTAATATTGTTCGTGTCATCATTTGGTCTTGATTGTCTTGATTTCTTCGTTTCATCGTTTTTCCTGTTCGTAAGTATCCCTCCCCTAAAAGACGCCGGCTTTCTACCAGAAATATCAAGTACACTAAGATCCTCCAACTCATTCTCGGTATCCGTCTCCGATGAAATAACTTCTTCCTTCTCTACAGGAATAAAATCTGGATCTATTGAGCGTTTCTTTCCCATTTTCTTTCTGGGAGTTGATATATCTCCCTCATAATAATCCTGAAAGTGACAAAATTATGAGTTTGCTATAACTACACAACCAAGGATAACATAACGTGTATGATTACTTACTACTTGATTTCGCTTCCGAGCTCCCCTGCCTTGTAAAGGTTCTTCAGCAGAGGCAGTCGTTGCAACGTGAGCCAAAAGTTTGCTCCAGAAGTCTCTCGACTCAACAGATTCTTCTACATCTACATTCGCAATGATACTTTCATCCACTACTTCCTGACTTACAGTATCCCAAATTCTTGCAAATGCAAAACCTGTTAGATTCTTGGATTCAGTAACAAGCTCTGCTGCTTTCATTTGGCTACGGTCCAGAAGTTTCTCAATGGCTTCGTCGGTATATGGTCCTACCGGTTTTTCGTTATTGTCTTCGCTAAATAAAGCCTTGGCACTATAACGGATAATATCGTCAACTTCTTTGACATCAAGAACTTCATTGTCCATTTTTTCTACAACTAGTTCATTTTTCGCAAGCTTTATCTTCCCCTTTTCGACAATTTTTTCTAATGAAAGTTATATATTCTTTAGCTTTATAATAATGATCATCATAGTAAAAATTATCAATACTAATTTATTACCTTCGATTGAAAATTGAGTAATAAACCTATAAACTTTAACGGGCTAAAAAAAAAAAAATTGTACAATTAATTATGGATTTAATAAATTAACTTTATAAAGATAATTACTTTAAATTGACCAATGCGATGAACGCGACTCAAAGCCTGTATGTCTTGATGGGGATTAAAATCAGGATCGAATATAAATACAGTATCCGCGGCCACTAAGAATCATTAAATTATTTACGTTTTTAGTACCAAAAAGAAATCGAATTAATCCTTCAAATTAAATTTTAAATAAACATACTTAAATTCAGTCCAACACCTCCTGCACGCGTAGATAATAAGAAAACAAATATGTCGGAATCTGGGGCCTGAAATGCGTTTATATTTTGTTGCCTTATCTCATTGTCGGTACTACCATCCTAATAAACGTTATTGATCCATTAATTTTGCATTTTTTTTAAAAAAAAAAAATAATAATAATCGGAGTGGGGATATTGATATTTACAAGCTTAACATATTTATACCCTAAATCCTCCAAGAATTCTTCCAATATAGACAGCATTGAAACGAATTGAGAAAATATAAGTACACGATGTCCTGTGCCATGTAATTTCATAAGCATATCCCGTAAAAGGATCAATTTTCCACTTGTTTCGACAAGTTTTTTCTTACGATTCTCCTCTTGATCTGTCGTCCTTTCTTCATCAGGATCGATTTCTTCACGATTAATTATATAAGGATGGCAAACTATCTGTCTTAAACTCATTAAAATATTTGTAAAGCCTGTCGATCGATTTGTCCTGGCAACACGTTTAAGAAAATCCGCGTTTTTCTCAAGTGTTTCTTTATAAATTGTTTTTTGTATTGGAGTCATTGAAACACGGACTATAATGTCGTCCTATTTATGCAGCATTAAATATTACAATAGTAAAGAATTAGAGGTACATAATAGAAATTTTATAATATAAATATATATATTCTCCTTGGGTAATTACCATTGGCGGAAGGCCTAAATTAACCTGACTCTTTGTGCGTCTTAAAAAATAAGATTTGAGTAGTTTATGCAAAGCAGGCAATTGATCTGCCGAGGGTAGTCCTTGGTACTCTTCCGCTAATTCCTTTGGATTTTCGAATTCCTTATGACCAAGGAACTTGAGTAAATTAAAGAGTTCATCAATACAATTCATCATCGGCGTACCTAAATAACGATACGTTTTTTATTTAATTATACAATAAAGATTTTAAAAGTTAAATTCGTATATATACACATATATATATACACGCTCTATATATAATCTACCTGTTAATAATACTTTATGATATACGTTGAGCTTTGTATTCAAGGTTTTGAAAAGTAAAGATTCCTGTCCCCTTTTAAGACTGTGTGCTTCATCAACAACCAACACCTCCCATAAAGGAACCTTTAAGAATGTACTTGTGTGTTGCTGTATTGCCTCTGGAGTTGTGATGACTACATGGCATTTTAAATTAGTTCCATCAGGGAACATTTCAAGGTCTTCAACAACCTTTAGAGATTCACCATCTCCATGATACTCAATAACGTTCAATTCCTTTGCCCATCTTTTGAATTCACGGGCCCAACCAGCTGTAGTAGATTTTGGTGCAACAATAAGGAATGGATAACAATTCCTTTCTTTAAATAAAATCAAAATAAAAACGATGATTTGTATTGTTTTCCCTTTTTTTTAAAAAAAAAAAAAAAAAAAAGTTGAAAATTTAAATTGAAGTTTTAAATGATGAACAATAATTATATTGATAACAGATTATACCTAAACCCATTTCATCTGCGAGAATACAAGAAATCTCATTGCACCAATTATGTAACATCCAGCTAGAAAAATTTGAAGATTAGAGGCTCTATTTCCATGGAATAGTATAATAATAATAATACGAATAAAACTTACTTCACCCCATCTAGCTGATAATCCTTAAGCGTATTGTAATGTTTTTTATGTTTTAGATATGAGGGTTGAGCTTTATGTGGAACAAATGTTCTATTTACAAAGATATCGGGCTTCTTAATTGCATATGAATTTTTCCGAATCTGATAGGCCTTCTCGAATTTTCTTTTATCTAAATTTTTTATGGGTTCCCAAGTGGCTATATGGGAAGAAAAATTCATTTATTAAATTTAATTAAATTATCGACATAACATATACTATAAAAGAAAAAGTATATCTACCATCTGCATAATTAAGACCTCTCCACTTAACATAGGCTTGCACCGGTACGCCTTTACCCAAATTTTTATGCTTGTTCACAAGTTGTTCACGTAAGGTTACTTCATTTTTAAATTGTACATCAAGTATACGATGTATCTCCGTCCAATAACTCTTAATTGCTTCCTCTTTGGTCAATGGCTCTGGCTGTGATCTAATATAATAATTATACTTGGTTGGGCTAATTCCATACACCCAAGGGCCAGGTACCCATTCAACTTGAAGATAGGACATATCTTCAAACTTTACAAGGAATTCATAATCTTCAATATTATCGGAATCTGCATTTATATCTTCAATTTGAGATCTTGAAACTTCCATTGATCCCTCTTTATCACTTTTTACAGATAACTTCCTAAACGTCAAAATTTTATCTATTTTATCTTCCCATTTCAGGCACAGATGACAATTCCAAGATTCTCGATATGATTGCATTTTTTCACTCAGCGATTCTTCCTCGTTCAAAAACGGAAGGCAACTTTCATGTATAGCCTGAGAGCAACGTAAACATCTAAAGAAAACTTGTGAATCCTCCGGATCTAAGCTAGTCTCAACACTTTTAATTGAATTTTGAGAATCTTCATTACTTTCAGAAGTCTTTTCTCTGTTACTAGGTCCCTTGTGACAAACCATACATCTAGATACATGTGAATCCGATTTACTACAAAGCTGACATAAAATTTTTGCATTTGTCGTTTTTCTAGAATAACAGGTCGAATGATAAGAATTCGAACAATATTCACACAAAACCAACGGTCCTTTTTCACTATAATATCTTTTCGCCGAACCTCCACACTTTTTACACCAATCAAGATGTGCAGCAATAAATTGTGAATTATTTGCTCTGGTAGATGAAATAGGATCAATCATTGGATTAGATTGATCACTTTCAGAATAATCGTCGTCTTCAGAATTTTTATTCGAACTTTCTGTAAAAGATTCTTCTTCATTAGAATCATCGTCATTATCTTTTAAAAGTTCATCATCCACGGTTTCATAAAATTCAGAGTTATCTATTGAAACGATTACAGTATTATCTAAACTTTCAACCTCCTTGCTATAATCGTTTAGTCTAGATGATAAATGTTTAAAACGTCTATTATCGAATTTATTTTCGGGGAAAGATCTCTTCCTTTTTTTTAGTTCATTCGGATCATTACCAAGACGACTTTTAAAGTACTTTTCATCCGAATAATTAACACGATTCACCCTTCGCTTTGATCTAGTTGCAATTGTAGATTCATCTGAATCATCTGTGACCATTTGGTCAGAATCTTCTGAAATTTCCTCATCACTCAGTTCTGAGGATTCATCCGTGGATTCTTCAATCTCAGAGGAATCAGAAATGATACGACTTTCTTTAGCCTAAAAGAATAAAATCGATAAATAAACAGATCTATCATACATAATTAACGGACGAGAGATAAAAATAATAAAAAAAAAATAATAATAATAAAATGAAATGAAATGAAAAAGGACCGCCTTTACTTTTTTCCTAGCACTTCTAGTTTGAACCATATCTAAAACCGTGGTGTTGTCTTCTTCGGACGAACTAGCTATGATAAACTTTCTTTTGCGCTTTGGTGCCTGAGAGGAAGTAGATGCAACAGGTTGTTCTCCTTTTGGTTTCATCATGTAATGATAAACAAGTTCACTCTGACTCAATGAAAGATATTCGCGATCGAAGGAACAGATCAGGTGAGAAAAGGTATGAGTTGTCAAATACTCGAGACATCCTATTTATTATTTTTTTGGTTTTAATAAAATTAAAACGTAACACAACAAACTTTGTGAAACATATATACCTAATATGGTAATTACACCATTAACAATCACGTGAGTTACTTTACATTGCTACATGTAGGAAGCAAGTAGTATGATGAAGTTTATTTTATAAACGCGAAAAAAGTTTCTTTTTTTGACAAATTTTAATTTTTTTTTTTTTTTTTTATAATTACAAAATTTTTTATAATTTCCGGCCCAAACAGTCATATGAATTCGTGTAACATCGTAACCACCAAATGGAGCATATTCCGGACTCTGATCAATCTCACATAAGGAGATGCAAAAAAAAAACCAGTTCAATAATATCTCTTTTTCCGGTAATAAGACAAAAAGATCTCAGAATTCAACTAATGAGACTTAGGATAATCATCATTATCGACAATCATTTAAATTCATCAGTACTTCTAATTGTGCTAAAATTCTCCATTAGATATTTCGTGAATTAATCATTTAGTTTTGGCCATTTCCAAGTAGATCTAAATAAATGTTCAGCACACAAGGTTTTATGCTAATTCCACGAATGTTCCTTGTTTCAACAACGCGTTCCAATTCCGTTATCAAATATTTGTTCGCTATTCCATACAAATCCCAAACAATATCATTTCTAAATAGGATGATGAATGGATAACATTTGAAAAACGCTCGCGTATTTAAAATCCGTAATGATTTAAACTTATTATATTTAGGAGACTATTAATTCATAATTTTGCTCGTGTTCTCCGCCTTGTTTGAAAATATTCGGATCGTTTTTTAAGGAAGGAATTTTTTTGCGTGTAAATGTTGAGCATCTACCATAATACGATCAAATCTTATGGTATCTGTCTGTTTGGAAACGGAATCGAAGAAATCGATTGAGCAAATCGAACTTTAAACCAATTCTTAAAGCATCCGGAAGATTTGATCTTTTAATTAATCTACGAAAAGCTATTTATTTAAAAAAATAACAATGATTTTAATGGAAATGTTTAAAATCATTTTCAGGCTCTTTGATAATAATATTATCAGCATTATTTAAAGTAATTTTAATAGGAAATACACTATGTCTAACCTGGTCAAGTTTAAATTCTTCGTGTTGGTTACGAACCGCAAACAACAACATTAATGTGCAATATTCCACATTGTTGTTAACAGATCTCTATTTAATGAATAGAAAAAATGAATTGATTTTAGATAATTTTTATAAACATTGATACTTTTAAAATGGCTTACGAGCTTAAAGGCGAGTTGCCAAAAAATATTTGGAGAAGTATCGAACCTTTGATGTGAAAAAAAATAGCATTTAGTTCAGCGACCTTAAGAATTTCAAATTCAAATTATTTTTTTCTCCCGACAACTGCTTTTATACAATTACAGTTACACGATGTAACGATGAATCAAATTTTTTTTTTTTTTTTTTTTTTTTTTAACGCGAAAAAATAAATATCATAATATTGTATATCACATTTTTCTAAATTCTGATTGATTCACTTACCATAAATTGAGGATTTTCCAGGTTTAAGAACTTTTATTTGTTGAATAACAAATTCCGCATCTTCAAGCATCCTCTCGGTAAAATTTTCATCATAACTTTGATTAATTCTTTAAACTTGCAAATCTCTGCATATTTTATTATGACCGTTGAGACAATTTCGAACATTCTGGAATAAACCACATTTTCGTATTACTTGAGCTTACTAATTATTAATACGGTTATGTAAAGTTTAAAGTTTAAAATCAAATATAGTTTTAAGCAACACAGTACTACTGTCAACCTCTCATTCCCGACCCTCAAAGTGCAAATAAAAATCAAGGAGACATATGACGTCTCAACTGACATACAAGGAATCTTCGGAAACAACCAGACACAACCTGCGCAAAAGGCCAAGATCTGCTACGCCAGGCTCAACTGGAAATGCAGGGGGTTTGTTTCCCTTCTGGGGGGTTGGCTAAAGCGGAGTTAAATCACGTGATCAAATCTAGTCACGTGACAAAGTGCATGTCACGTGATATACAAGTCACGTATCCACGCGATCATTATATGCATAATAAGATAAGCATATGATAAACATATGATAATAAAGCATTTTTTTATCTCTTGCAGTCTTGAGGCTTAGGTTCAAAAGTATTTTTCAATGCAGCTTACGATTTCTGTGAAGTCGTGTAAATATGCTACTTTATTTATTATTTTTTATGAAAGTCTTTTATTCTTAGCGTGAGTTAAAAAATGGAGGAAGAAAAAATAAGAATTTTTGCTTCTTAGCTTTCGCTAGCAATTACCTATACTCAAACAAAAAAAAAAGAAACAAAGCGAAACCATAAAAAGAAGGCTTTAAAGTACTTTATACTTCCTCTCCCCTTAATTTCTCCTCTAAAGTCTAAGAAAAAATACTTTTAATATATCTGCTGTCGCCGCTTCAATTGTTACATCAACAACAAACCAAATGTCAACAAATCTCACACCAACAAACCTTACATCAGCAAACTTCACACCATCAAACTTTGCCCCATCAAATTTCACACCATCAAACTTCGCACTATCAAACTTCACACTATCAAACTTCGCACTATCAAACTTCGCATTAGCAAATCTCACAATAGATGAAAGGCGGAACTTACTTTTTAATGTAAGTTGTTCTTTGGAAATCCCAATGAAAGATTTTGATGAAAATTGGTGGCCGTTGGTTTCAAATGTCTGGACACAATGGAATTCATACAAACAAGTAAATGGCGACATTCAGAAAGATTTTGTCTGTCATTTTATGAAGCACTGGGAATCAAGTACATGAAATAAGGAAAATATTTCTAATGCAAAACGCCGAATAACTAAAATACGACCATCCAAACTATGTCATGCTAAAATTAGAGTTTTGTGGCTAGTCTCATTAAAAATTGTCAAAGTTGAATGCCATAAAGACTCTTCCAACCATACACATTCATTAATAAAATCAGATAGAATAAAACGGTCTCAAACTGTTTGAAATTTGGTGGAAAAGAAAGCGATAAAAAACTATCTGCCTTCAGCAATCACTTCCGCTGTTAAAGAGTATGCAACTAAGTTAGGCCTAGATGCAAGTGTGCAAAAGCTGAGACGTAAAGAGGTGGCTAATATAAAATATAAAGTGCGTGGACCTTTAGAAACTCATCTTATTTGCGATTTGGATTTAAAATCAGATATTTCAAAATCCATGTTCTTTTTAGTAGAAAAAGGATATCGTGTTGAAAGTTATTGTATTTCTCATCAGTCCACGAAGTCTACTAAGGGCATTGTATTCGCACATCCCAAACAACTCGAGAAACTTCAGCGTTATGGATGGTTGACGCTTATTGATTCAACTCACAAAACAAACAAGTATGATTAGCGCCTTTTCACCTTATACGTTCGTGATACTTATAGATGTTGGGATGTAAGTGCTCACTTTTTTGTAAGCAATGAAGATTGTAATACTGTTTCGAAAGCGCTAAAAATTATTCGTAACTATTGTTGGCTTTCCCGTTATATTCTTTCAGATCAAAGTAGCATTGAAGCCAAAGGCATCAATATAGCATTTTCCGGTATAAGTGCTGGTGAACAAGAATGTGAAATAATCCTTTGTATTATCCATATTATGAGAACGTGAATGACGAAAATTTATGAAAAAAAAACTCAGGATATTATGAATGCAGCAATGCACAAAAGAACAAGGATCGGTTGTAAAAATCTTGTGCAAGATGCTATTAATAATTGTACTATTCCTACTATAAAAAATTACATCAAAAGGTATTATATAAAAAATACATAGTAGTGGGGATTGTGGGCGCATTAGCACTCTCTTTTACTTTTGTAAGTTACATCTACAAACCTGTTAGAATCTTACCACAGTGAATTAAAAAAACTGACGTTTTCATTACATAATCTAATTGGTATGTTTGCCCTTTTTATTAACTCATTTGTTTAATATATATATTTTTTAATTCCTTTATTTACGTTTTCTTTTATTTTAGGTGCTGTGCATAATATTATTGATGTTGACTGTAAAAAGCGATCTGATTCTGAAAGAGTCACCTTTGACTTTCATACTAAGAAAGTATCTGTCTATGGCATAGATGATGATATAATCAAAGAAATTCATGTTTCCCTTTCCACTTCAAAATCTACTAGTTAAGGAGGCTTGTGCTGTAATGGATAGGATTGAAAAAGGCAAAGGCGTGCTAGGTTTAACTATGTCTAATTGCTACTGTTTATTCTGAAATCGATATTTGTTACCATGCAGACATCTTTTTCACGAACATATATACGGAAACGCCAAATTATTGACCGTTAATGTATGGAAAGTATTTCAGGAAATGTTTGAAGAGTGTGAATATGAAATATATGAAGGTCGCAAATCGGTAATAGAATTTGTTCAAACAAAATAACAAAAAGAAGCTGAGAATTGGAGGTTAACTGTAGTGGAATTAACTGAAAGAATTCGTGATAGATATTGGAATATTGAAGAAAAGGGTGATATTGAGAGAACAGATGCTTTTATCTCAATGCTAGAAGCTTCTTTAAATCTAATAATTTTGAATTTTAATGAAAAAAAATAAATATTACATTTTTTATATTTTTTTTAACAATGACTTTATTAATAATTGTTTAATGAAACTTATCAAACTTAAATTTTAATTTATCACAATATAAACACTTTAAAT